TCCACTCAGAGAGTCCAGATCTGAATGTGATTCAAATCTAGAAACCTCCTAATGAGATTAGGAGAAAGCTAATCTAATCTGCAGATAAGATAGGGGTTAATCCTTATCACCTAAAGAGATGTTTTGATCCAAATAAGATTTGGATCAGCAACTCCTAATTGGATTAGGAGCTGATCCTTTGTGGTTACAATTAAGGAGGGGGTGGTAGCTTTAAGAAAAGATATATTCACATCCTCTTAAGTGCTGAAAAACACAAAAGAAAGATTTCTGCAATCCCTACGAAAATCTTTCTTGCCGCCTCCTTCCTGCAGCCGCCAGACATCCAATTTGATCTCCAACTCTGTGGGAGAAGTCAAGATTCGATCTTGACATCGGTTCTCTATGAAAGAATTGATTGGAAGCTGTGCTCACGTGCCATCCTGCTGTTTCTTGCGAAGGACAGAATTCTTGAAGAATACTACTGATTCTGCTCCATCCTGCACTGCGCCATCTTCAGTGGGAGCAGTTTTTGGATCCTTCCWTGGGCGTGAACACCTTCGTTCGGAGATATTACTTCTCCGTATCAGGTATAATCCTCTCTTACTACTTTTGGTTCAGATCTGGTTCAGTTTATGGTTCAAGATTGATCATTGAAAATATGATTTTCTAAATAGGGAATGTGATTCCCAGTTGAAAGGGAGAGAAAAATTTTTGAAATTCGCCCCTTTATTCGCAAGTTTTGGGCGTCCATACGATGGATCTCTCATCCCTTCAAGTTTGCCATTGAGGAAGAAGGTTTACACTACAAAAACCAGAATCACAAGTGTACCAGACCTGATCCCACACAATCAGAATGCTAAACCCCCAAGAATTCTACTTTTGGAATGAGAAAAAAAAACACTGCTGAAACCAGTCCAGCAATTAGGCTAATTCCACTACAGCAACTGGTAATCAGTTCAGTAATGGTTCAGCCATTAGAACATTAGAACTACAGCCCAGAAATCAGTTCAGTTCAGTTTCAGGGCATTAGAACACAGCCCAGAAATCAGTCACAGTTCAACTACAGCACATACTCCTGTCTGTAATAAAAAAAAAAGAAAAAAAAGAAAAACATACTCCTGTCTAACACGTGTACATAGGTGTAAATAAAAAAACCAAGGCCTTCACTGCATTGGCCACAGAGGAAAAAAAGAATACATACCCCTGTCCAGCACCTGTTCGAAGGTGCAAACCCAGAAACTTATTCTCACTGCATCGAACTGTCCAGCGCCTATTCGAAGGTGCAAACCCAGAAACTAACTCTCACTGCATCAAACAAGGAGAAGAAGGGTGTTTACAGCATCGTCCTTCTTCTACCAGGGCTTCCTTGGTGTTACGACCAAGGGGGACCCCAAAGAAAACAGCGGCAAGTGGCCTGATCAGTCTGATTAGGTTTCTTTGTCCTCCACATGTCCAAGAGATCAAGAGAGAAAGAAAGGAGATTCTTTATCGCCCAGAACCTTGCTCTGATACCATGTAATCTTTCCTGGATAGAGAGAAACGAGAGAGAGGAGAAGAGAAGAGAGAGAAGAGAAGGGAGAGAGGGAGATTCGATTGGGAATCAAAAAACTATAGCTGGCTGATCCCAGCTTATCATTTATATTAACTTAATGTAAATAATAAGAGGAAAATACAATTATGCCCCTGACCACTCCCTACTAACAAACAAATAAGAAGAAAGTAAAAGACACTGGCTGTCAGCATCTTAGGCTGACAGTGTCAACTATAAAATAAAACAAACAACTCTCACAACAAACATGACTGTACTAAACACATCGAAGTTGATTTCCACTTCATATGAGAGAGGCTCCTTGATGTTAAAATCTGCACTGCTTATAGTACTTATCATTTACAATTAGCAAATATCCTAAAGGAATTACGAAAGATCACCTCATAGAAATTATCAAGAAGTTTGGCATGATAGACATCTTTGCACCAACTTGAGGGGGAGTGTTAGAAGATATTTGTAATGGGCATTATTGGTATTTTACCTATAATATAATCATGTAGCTACATATACAAATTTGTAAGGGTAATATTGTAATTTTCTCTCTCAAAATCAAAGTGTTTGAGAGGATTAGATCTCGTTTATCATACTCTTTCCTCATTTCTCTCTTCTCTTTTCTCCCTTCACTATTCTCCCCTTCCTCGCTTAAAACCCTAACCTTTTAACCTAAACACATCAAGGAAGCAAACTGTCTCCCTATTAATCTCCTTGATTCCAACAAGGAATAACTCAACCTGAAATATAAAGGAGAGAGAGAGAGGGAGGTTAGGTTTTAAAATAAATGGAAAATAAACCATAAATACTCCCAGACTTCAATACTACTATTTTCACCATGCTTGAAAGTATATCATGTGTTATTGAAAATTTTTTAAGATAAATCTTTCTTAGGATCTTTGGAGAAAATCATTAGTAATTGTATTCTTAAATCTTATAAGTTGAATTCATTGATTTTGATGCTCAAGGTTGAGGACTTCCAAGATAATTTAAGACTATCCTGTTTTTCCCTTCTTGCATTATGAACTTTTCTATGAAAGTGGTAATAGCTGAAGTCATTATGAACTCTAATGTTGCTTTCAGAATAAGTTGTCACAAGTTTAATAATGTAGCTAATTTCTTTTTAAATAGAACATTTCATCTGTTACATTCGATCCACATGATCACTTCTATTTCCTTGTTCATCAAAACTAATTTTATTTTTCGTAAGCAAAGCCAGAACTCTTATCCATGCAATTTTAGTAACTAGTTCATATAGTCCAAAAGGCATTAATTGGATGATTTAATCCAGTTCTTTGAGGCTTAGAAAGAGGAATGAACACCTTCAATGAGAGTATTTATTTTCAAATGCAATGATTTGTTACTCATTTCTTTCTAGGTAACTGACCAGTTGCAACAGACTGCATTCAGTTCCAATGGAGTCCATCATAACAACATTTATGGTTGTAGGTTTATGGTTATCGGATGTCTCTCTGGGCTGAGCACCTTGGCATGCTTGAAGATTGTTTCTATGAACCACAGAGTATTGAGTGCATCAGACGTGTGAATACACTTGCAGAGTCCAACTGGCAATCTTATGTGTCTGAGGAATTTATGGATATGAAGGGACACTTGATGCCATATCCAATTCATGTAGGCTGGGATGGGAAAATTGGGCCATTGCCTGGGTTTGAATGCTTTCCTGACGTTGGTGGTAAGGTTCTTGGAGCACCCACAACCCTTCCTGATGCTCTAACAACATAGCAGTTCAATAGGTACTCTTACATGGAGTTTTAACCAATGCCAATTGGAGCTTCAAGCAGTTCAATAGGATACTTGCCCACAGGATGGAATTTAGATCGCATATTAATTTACAGATGGAATCAAGGTAGGAATCATACTTGTCATTATAGAATATACATACATATTTCTTTATAGGGACAATTCCTGGATGGCAGATATTGTTTCTCAAACAATGTAGTTTGGCTTTTACCGGAAAAAAATAAAAAAAAAAGCAATGTAATTTGGTAAATAATAAGTTCTACAAGAACAATATTCCACTTCGAGGGGAGTTTTGATTGGTCAAAGCCCTTCCGGTATCATGTCTTTCCCACAGAATAGATTTTTCGATTCATCAAATAAGGATATTGGAAAGAATCCAGTAGAATTACTTAAATAAATATCCTAAACACTTATTTTTGGTATTATATATTATGCATTATAGGGGACTCGGGTGGGAACAGAGCCGGGTACACGTGAGTCCCACTGGCCATCCCATGTCTCCTTTGTAGTGAGGCTGGGTGACCATCTCAACTTTTGGGTCATAGGCGAGTTTCTAAAACCATTCAGTTAAAGGAGGAAAGAAAAAGATTTCCCATCTGGAATTTTTTTATAAATCTTTGATTTAAACTTTGATTAGGATTGGAATTTTGATTGAATTAAAGATTAAGGTTAATTAGGTAAAATATGAATTTTTAGGAGACTGTAGTCAACCCCTCCCAAGACCCGGATAACTATTTTTTTTTTTATTTTTGTTTTTGTTTTTTCCTTTCTCTTTTTAGAGATGTCAAGACTCCGGATAGTTGGGACCAAAAACAATGTTTCAAGGCTAACCTATTATTTCATCTAGGCATCAATCGTCTTTGTTCACTAAAATTGACTTGTGTTATTATTTTATTAAAGTACTTTTTTCTCTTGTATCTCAGAATTTTCTTTAATAGCAGGACTGTTCACTCACTCTATTCTACCCCCCCCNCCCCCCCCCATGGCTTTACATCAGTTTCTCTAGCTGACATCAAGGGAAAAAGAAAGCCAAAGTTTGTCCTCTTAGATTTTACTTGCCATCAATAGTTCTTGAGTTAGACCTCACTTCTCCATGGATTTCCATATTTTGAGTTGAAACTTCGCAGAAATCTATACTGTTGAAACTGATTATGAACATATTACGAATATTTGAAGTGAAATATTCGTTGAATTTTCATACCAGGTAAAATTGTGACACATTCAACAAATCTATTATGCCTGAAAGACATGATACCAGAAAGATCGACCAAATCCAAACCATTGGCATCATAAACATGCAAGTGGATATACACAGGTCACAAAAATTAAAAGTTAAAACCCCAAACAATATATATTATATACGGTCGATACTTAATTGCAGATGTTCATAGCATGCATTTTTATACTAGTTTAGAACAAAGGAATTTTAATCTTGGAAAGGGTGGATTGGTTACCCACCTAACCTTTGGCATTTTTTGCATTACCACAGTTTCACGTTTTTTATTTTCAATCTGAGATTTAATTATTGCAGCAAGAAATTGCCACATAATCAAATATCATCACAAAACTAAACCAAAATAAAATTTGTAACGAATCAGTCTAGGTCTTAGGCTGTACCACTGGTTGATTATGCCTCAGACTATTTGAGTCCCAGTGGTTGGGTGAAAAGCAGAAGTTAAGCTTAAGTATCTTATGGCCCCACTTTTATAGTTACAAGGGGAACAAAGATTGGGAAAACCCATCACAATTTAAATCCTCAAATATGATTTTTCTAGTTTAATTCATTGTTCTAGAGATCACACAGGATCTTTACTGTTCGGGGCTCATTCTGCCTTTCTTTGGCACATCCATTACATGATTTCTCACAATGGTACTTGGAAATCAGTTCTCTCCCTTTTGGACCCCTACTTTTTGGGTGATTGTAATAATTTAAATTCCAACAAATGATTTTCACTAAGAAAAACAAATGTATCATTTTTCAGGGTAAATGTATCAACAAATGATTGTAATAATTTTAATTGTTTTGAGCATTAATTCTTGATGTAACAAAAAAAAAAAAAAAAACTAAGGCCCCATCTGCTTTTCGGTAAGTTATTTACTCAGGTAAGTGTATTTACCTGGGTAAGTTTTTCCTAGGAAACACTTACCTGGGTAAGTGCATTTACCCATGTTCTTTTATTTTTCATGTAAATAAGGCAATGACCATTTTAGCCATAAAAATCTATTATCAAAAAGGGCATTTTTGTCCCATTCAAGTATTGGCAATTTTCTCCCTAGGTGGGAAAGTTATTTACCCACTTAGGAGGTTGGTATTACTTACCCGGGTAAGTGATACCCACGAAAATAAATTTTCCCTGGTCCTCACATAAATCTTAAAAAAGAACATGTGATTCTTGGTCAATGAGAATCAAAATTTCATTGACTAACTTTCCCCTTTCAAAATCCGAGAAAATATCACCCCCTAAAGTGTTTTTATTACTCTGGATACGAAAAATGTGTAACAATTACCTTGACCTTTTGTTTAAGCGATGCACTGGAAAATCCGCTACCAAAGATGATATGGAAGATATTTCAAAAAAAATAATATTGAAGAAATAACAAAATTAAATTCCTGTAAATTTACTGAATAAATTCAGTGTTAATAATTAAAAAAATAATATAATTGTTGTTAATTAATAGACTTTTACGATTAAATTTCAGTAAATTTAATGTTTATGTGATTAGCAACATACTGTTATTTAAATTACTTATGTGAAAATTAATATAAATTATGAACAATTAATTATTAATTAATAGAAACATACGGTTAATTGAATAAATTTATTGTTAATTTACTCTTGGTAAGCTACTGTTAATTGAATAACAGAAACTTTATTGTGTTGTCAAATTACTATCATACAGTTAGTTAATGAGTTCGGTTAAGGGGATCTGACGCGTTTCTCTGTTCCTATCATAAACTCATTTTGCCAGGCATTGTGTTCATTTCAATTCACAAAGCTTGGGTCTTTGTGACAATAAACTTGAATAGAATGGGATTAAAGTAACGCTTTTGTTTATTTATTTTTTTTAAGAGTTGACACGGGCTCTGTACTACTCATCCAGTATATGTTTGGAATCGATGCTGCAGATGTATTACTGAGAAAATGGTGCTGCTGATGTGTGGGTTGGAAGATGTCTCTTTTTTATTTTTGTTTAGAATCATTGTTGCCAGGTAGGACGTTTCCTGGAGCAACAGTAACCTTTTTTGTTTGGTACCAATTTTCCAGGAAACGTTTTCAGCACTGATACCCATTATCCAGTGCCACATCACTGCCCTGTTGGCAGCAATGAGCTACAGTTTTAGGAAACGCCAATTTTGGCGTTGCTCTAAGGTATGCCTTCCCGATTTCCAAGGTCAGACTTGAAGTACCGTTTTTTATGGAAAAACGAATCCAAACAAATGCACATTTCCTAGAGCACTGTTTTTTTCGACGTGGCACTGATGTGGTGCCGTTTTCTGGAGCAACGGCATTCTCAGGTTGCATGTGGAATGCTGTTCCAAGACAAAATGAGGTTGCTCCATGGGTATGTTAGGTCAGATACTTTAACTGGTTCTAACAGTTTTTACGTTATGGAAGATGCATAAGATGATAATCCCCTTTTGTTGTTGGGTCGTCTGGTTGATAAGCCACCGAAAACCCAGTGCTTGTTGAGATGTGTATTTTCTAAAATACCAAAAAGGAAAAAACAAATTAAGATAATGCTCAGAAGGGGTTCTCCAATCTTTCCATTCGCTATCTTTTCCCTCAAATCATATGTAACATAAATCAGATATTTTATATTTGGAAGAACACGCTTCTATCAAATAGGATTTTTTTCCGAAGAAGTACACTGCAGCCCACTGCAGAATTTTGAAATTACAGCCCCCATAGTTTACTAGTATCCTCCTATGAACCGCATCTTGCCCATGGATTTGGCATCAATCAATTCACAGTCAAGATTCATCCCACCTGTACGGTAGGGTTAAGAATTCTGATGTGGGCTGAACAGTCATTCTCCCATTGTTTTTTGGTACTTAACACAACACACTAACTTTTTCAAAGTAGGTGGTAATAGCGGGATTTGAATCGTGTTAATTAGTATTTGATTTATTAATTTATTTACCGATAATTAGTGTAAGTTATAATAAATAAATGTGTCTGATTTATTGGTAATTAGTGTTAATTAGAACCTATAATAATTAGTTAATTAGTTATTGGTCTATTTAGATCACATAGGAGTCTATACAGATGGATTATCAAATCGTATCTATTATCATAAAATTGGGTCAGTTTCGGGTGTTGATACACAAAAACTATTTGAATGTTTTTTTTCTTTGATCTATTTCAACATATTTGCAGTGTTGGGCTATTAAGATCCCACTACCCAATGGATGTCAAAAAACACTATAAAACTTTTTGATTCCATATATCTCATATACATTTTATGGGAGATCTACATAGTCAATCATAAATATCTAATTTTTATATTTTATATGATAAATAAATTGAAAAAAAAGCATGAATATGTAGACAACAATTGCATTTTTAAAATAATTAAAAATTATTATTTTAAATATTAAAAAATAAAAAAAATAAATATTTTAAATATTATTTTATTGATAAAAATATTAAAAAAATAATATTTAAATAATGAAAAAGGAGTTGAGAAGGAGAACCGTCGGACTTGTACTAGAATTAATATTAAAAATTATCATTTTATTGATAAGATATTAAAAATTATTAAAAGATGAAATAAAATGAGAATAATTGGACCAATGTAACGTATGTGTGTTACAGTAAAACCTTCCCACAAACTGTCTATACCATAGTGTGGACTATCCATGAGAAAATACTGTATACAATAAATTAGGGTGTGGCTCATCCCTGTCTACGCTATTTTATGGACGGTCCCGTCCATACATAGCAGAACGCCATATTTTATTGTGGACATGACCAAAATGGTCCCATCCACGATATATACACGCTACCAAACACCGCCGAAATTGGCACAATCTGTCAAAATATAGGTTGATGTATGTCAATGTCTTATGGGGTAGAGGACTACTTGGTGAGATGAAACCAAACTCCTGATGCTCATCAATTAATAAAACACAATGTTGGTAAATGCAATAATCTTTCAGTCACGGTTTCACTCTTTCATATTTCTCCTCTAAACTAAAAGCGTTAAACTCAATCCCAAAAA